GGACGGGCGGACGGGAGGGTACGGCGTGCTGGGAATCGGCAGCACCGCTCTCCTGCCCCTCCCGTGAAGGGCCTTACGACAGCCCCGACACACGCTTCCTGCCTCCTTCCCTAAAAAGCTTGCTTCGCGCCCTGGCCGGAGCAGGGAATGAGGTGGAGGATGGAGAGGGGGGAGAGAGGAGAACGAGCGGGCTCTCGCCGTGAGGAAGTGCCCGGCCGGCTGCAGAACCCACTCCAGCCGGGGTTCGGGTTTCCCGGGGCTGCTCCCCGACCTGGCCCGCGGTGATGGAGCATTTCTCTGGTTCCCCCGGCGCAGCATTATCATGACGGCCTCCTCCACGCTGCTGGCCCTCTTCCTGATGCCCCTCTGCCTCTGGATCTACAGCCGCCACTGGATCAACACGGCCGTGGTGCAGCTGCTGCCCCTGGGGGCGGTAAGCCTGACGCTGGGCAGCACCCTGCTGCCCATCGGCCTGGGGGTGCTCATCCGATACCGGCACCCCCGCGCCGCCGACCTCCTGGTCAAGGTAGGCACAGCGCCCGGAGGGGAGGAGGGTGGCACCGGGGACAGGGAGCCGAAGGCAGTAAGCTTTCTAGTCCCCCCAAACCGGTGTTAGTCTCACACAGGCATATTCAACTATTTAGGTGGAATACAAAGACTTACAGTCTTGAAATAAAACGTTGGGGCAGGGAAAGCGAGGGAGATGGCGGGTTACCCCCTATCGCAGCACACAGGAAGGAGGGCAGCGTGGTGCTGCACCCGGGCAGGCATCCTGGACCCTGTAGCAGAGGCATTCCGTGACATCCTGCTTGCTTCCCACACCTTCTGCACCCACGTCAGGCAAAACCAACCTGCAGGCACGGTCAGGAAGAGTGAGAAAGGAAGAGTGAGGCAGAAGTCCTGATTCTTGTTTCCCAGCAAGTCATCCCAAAACAAAATGATGACAACCTCAGCCCCCTTCCTTTCCTGAGATATGATCAAACACCACCAAAATCCCAGGCCAGGAGAAAACCTGGGAAGGACAGTGCAGCCATATTTTGCGGTTTAGACTCTTTAGCAAGCCTCTACCTGGTATGCTTTTCCTTTCTAAATAACAGTCCTCATGTTGTTTATCATGTTGTTTATCATGTATGTATCTGTTGCCAGATTTCCCTGTGGTCCCTCTTGGTGACTCTGGTGGTCCTGTTCATCCTGACTGGGACCATGCTGGGCCCAGATCTGTTGGCACAGATTCCTGCGTCCGTCTACGCCATTGCAGTGCTGATGCCTTTGGCAGGGTACGCCTTGGGATACGGCTTAGCCACTGTCTTTAAAATGCCCCCACATTGCAGGAGAACAGTATCTTTGGAAACGGGGTGCCAAAACGTCCAGCTCTGCACTGCCATCCTAAAACTCACCTTCTCCCCGGAGCTGATAGGGAGCATGTACATGTTTCCCTTGCTTTATGCGCTTTTTCAGTCAGCGGAAGCAGGACTGTTTGTGCTGGCATACAAGATGTACGGAAGAGACAGCTACAAGCAAGATACACTTGGTGAAGAGGAAGACACAGATATTTCCTACAAGAAACTGAAGGAAGAGGAGGTAGCTGATACTTCATACGGCACAGTGACCACAGAGGAGCACAACTCCATTCAGATGGAGCCAACTCAGACAGCGCTTTAGGCAGGACATGGAGGTAACTCCCCAAGACATGAATGTGTGTTGTGCTTGTAGCCAGGCTGGAGCTGTGCTCGCTGCTGTGCAAGCGGAGCTGCCCAGCCTCTCGTTTCTCCAGCTGCTCCCATTGTACAAGGTGATATGTGTTTATTACCATGACAGTTCTACTTCCTCAAAAGTAAACGTGAAAAGAAAAAGAAAAAGAAAAAGAAAAAGAAAAAGAAAAAGAAAAAGAAAAAGAAAAAGAAAAAGAAAAAGAAAAAGCATCACTGTGACACAAACCAGTAACTGTAAAACTTCATGCAAGGAGGCTGCTGCCTGGCTGAGTGCAGCAGGAATGGGTAGAAGGAAGAAACAGTGTTCTACAGAGTCAGTGCCAACTCAGTGTCAGTTCAGATGACAGAAAAAACACGTCGCGTGTGTGTCTCTGTGCCTCCCACCTGCTGTAAAAGCATTGTTCTCATTGTTCTCACCACAAATACATGGCGAAGCCGAACCAAACCCGTGTTATCCGCTGTTTACTCCCGTGGAGGCAATTAAGAGCCGCGCTGCCGGGTTGGGCTGGGGGCTGTGATGGGGGTGGGGGATGGCCCAAGGCCGCGCACCAGGTGGGGATGGGAAGGGACAGCAAGGCCGGCGCCCGTCGGGGGCGAGGGAAGCGCGGCCCCGCCCCAGGGGTATTTAAGGCCACCTGCCGGGGGTTACCCCGGGTCCCGTGCGATGGCCGAGGAGGCGATGGCGAGCTATCTGTACACCGCCTACCCCCCCTACTCTTACCGCTACCCACCGCCCAAGGGTAAAGGAGGAGCGGCGGGCGGCTGGCGGCCGCGGGGCAGCAGCTACTTCCCGGGCTACGGGGAGGCCGCCGCCGAGTACTTCGACAACTACCAGAGGGCACAGCTCAAGGCCATCCTCTCCCAGGTCAACCCCAACCTGACGCCGCGGCTCCGCAAGGCCAACACCAAGGAGGTGGGCGTCCAGGTGAACCCGCGGCAGGACGCCTCGGTGCAGTGCTCGCTCGGAC